GTGAAGGAAGATTCCAGAGTGGAGTGGTCCTCGAACTCAGCCCTTCTTGCTCAGCTTTCACGCAGGACTCGAGGCATTGCTGCTTTTCCAAAGCAAAACTGGTCTCCTCCCAGGTGTCCCGCAGAGACGCTGTCGGCTCGTCAAGGTATAGTTTACCATTGACGGAGAGTTTTACTGTCGGCTCTGATCTCACACGTCCCAATACTTCACAGACTACTCCGTGACTATGAAGAACTTCAATCACTTTGCCCAAGTTGCCGCGATGAACCTGCACAGGAGGAAGTGAGTTAATAAAACGTGAATACTTTGGCCAACCTCATAAATAAGTCCAAGTTCCTCCGAAAAGAGCGCGCTGAAAGCCGCTGTGTCCGGTTCTGAAGCGGGAATGTCTACTTCAATGCCACAATTGCCCGCAAAAGACATTTCTAGCAATGAAACTATAACTCCACCATCGCTGATATCATGTCCCGCAGAAATAAGTTTCTTGCCAATAAGGTCCTGTCCGCAGTAAAATCCACATGGTTTCAAAAAGAAAAGCGATGAATGACAAGATCACCTGCGTCGCATTGAAGGCACGTTTTAAATATTGGGCATTAACGTCCGGGCAAGTATCACCAATCTGCAGTGGAAGTTAGCAAGGAAAGAAAAACACAGTTTGTCTCAGACCTGATCAAAAGCTTGGGCCAGTGCAGAACCTCCTAGACGACCTTTGCCACTCCCAACATTAATGTGCAAAAGAACACCTTCATCTCCCAACTGGAAGAAGCAAGTAATCGGATTTGAATGAAAGGGATCTGAATTTCAGTACCTTCAAATCAGGGGTGACGGTGAGTGTAATGTCTGGACAAGTCACATACGCACTAATGACGAGATTCCCGGGTGCCTTGACGGTTTCACCACCTGCTTGAGCAGCCATTGACAAGCTGTCCTTTCCACCGTCTATTGCGACCTCAAGCTCGATCATAGCGTCGCGAAGAGCAACGGCAGCATCGTACATATCTGCTCCTTCGGAATCAAGCTTTGCAGCGTACATCCAGTTCCCGCTTGCTTTGACATCCTTCAAAGCGGTAACCTGCGAACTTATACACATCATAAGGTGTTGTAACAATCAAGATGAGAGTACCTTAGCCCAAACAAGATTCGTCAAAGCTTCTCCAAGCGCCACCCTAGCCATGGCTGCAGGATTCAGCAGTCCCTGCAAATTGTCTTCAGAAAAAAGTAAAGAATTTTCAATCTACCTTGGTCGGTTGTTCACCAATAGCGCAAGCAGCACCGGTGAGATCAAGATGGCTCTGGAATAACAGAACGTGAGATGCCAACAAGATTATCACTAGACACCTGAGCAATGACTGCAACGTCCGCCAAAGGGAGCTGCAGGGGTCCAACAGTTTGCTGCTGAGCTACCAGTCCGGTGACACATCGATCAACCTGCACAAGGCAAATGTTTAGAAGACGACCAGCTGTTATCCAAAGTATTTAAACCTTTGTCGTTAGAAAACGCTTCGAGCACACTGATGGTAAACTGAGCACACGTCTCAAGGCATCCCTCACCGAGACTCCTGGCGTAATATCTAGAGGTTCACAAGTTACTGGTTTCCTATCAAAAGTAAATGTTTTGCGTGGCATGTCTCCGAGAACCTGAGACATGAATGCTAGCTGAACGACAAGAAGAAAAAATCGAACGTTCTACCTTCTCAAGGTCCAAATCAACCGCCGGCGGAGGTGGGGAGACATTGTTGGCTTCAGCTAGTTTCTGGGCTGCGCTGTCTATAAGAACAATCTTTCCCTCGCCACTAAAACATATTTTGAAAACTATCAATACGAATGAGTGATAAAATGGAGAACGGTACCTGATTTTTCCTATCACAGCCATGGACACACGCTCCCTGTCGCAAATAGACTGCAGTAAAGCCTCACTTTCTGGTCTAATCAATAAAGCATCCTTCACACATGTAAACAACGTGAGTCGATCTGGAAAGGAAAACAAAAATGACATCTACCTGTTCTTGGTACTCGGCACCCCAGATTTCTAAAACTGACATTGTTTCGTCACCAACAACAATAGACCTTATGTCAATTGTTGCTCCCTAAGATTCACAGATAATCCAGTTACGCCTGGGAAGTAATGAGTGAGCTTACCTTGGGGTATATTATCTCTTTAACAACGTTACAGTTTCCTCCAGCGCCTTGATCGTGAATGCTAACGATCGGATTACCATCGCCCATTTCTACACAGGTGCGAATTACGCGGTAAAGTTTCTGTGCCATTTCTGCATCTCCTCGCTGGACTGCGTTGAAATCTAGCTCGGCATCATTTTGGCCACTAACCTGGAACACATAATAGTTTAAGGTAATGTGTAAGGCTGAGCTCCTTACCATGCTAGATGCAGCTCCCCCACCCATCCCAATTCGGTATGCTGGACCGCCAACCTACAAGTTACAGGTAGGAAAAGCAAAGAAAGACAAATAAAAGCTACCTTAACAACAAGCATGCCAAGATCTGGATCTTCTTTCTTCAAATGCTTTTCATCGATCTGCATCAACAGAGTTGGTTTATTTTTATTATGTATGGAGTCTTACCGACCTGACCAATTCCTCCACTGAACATTATCGGCTTGAGCCACTCCCTCCGTTCACCATTAGGCAGTCTCATGCCGAAAGTACGAGTGTATCCCTGAGCGAGCGGGAATCATTAAACAGCTAAAGGAAGGGTAGCATTGTTACCTGAATCAGAGGCTCCCCAAACTTGTTACCGTAATCAGAGGCTCCGTTACTCGCATCGATAAGAATCTAGAAGAAAAGGTGCACGTCATGTCAGCTCAAAGGCATTTGAAGGAAGTACCTGAAGAGGAGGAGCCAAGTTCGGAGGATAAGCAAATGAAGAATCTTCCCAGGGAGCAAACGTTCCTTCAAGCTAAAAACGTTTGCTGATGTTAAGTTTTCCATGCTACAAACTCAAATTAATGCAAACCTGCAGATTTCCTACACAGTAACCTGCTGTCGAGGCAACAACAAGAGAACCTATGCCAGTTGCATGCGTATCGCGAATACGACCACCAGCACCAGTTTCGGCTCCCGGAAAAGGCGCAACCTGTTTGTAACATTAATCTCCATGAGCTGCACAAAGAACTGTACCTTACCGCGCAAGGGAAGTTGTGAGTTTCAGCAGTGAAAAGGATACATAAGTCCCTTGTGACGGGTACGATAACACATGGAATTCCAGGACGTGACGGAAGGAGCACTTCAGCACGAAATCCCCGAATGGCACTGTTTCAATTACAGCCAGGTTTTTGCAGGATAGAAACATCACCGTACCTCGAATTATCTTTGAACCCAATGACAGAGTTGTTCCGATTTGCTTTTAACGTATCGGCGACAAGTTCCATTAGAGACTTTGGCATGGCCCTTCCGTCAATGACCAGTTCGCCCTGTAGACATAATTGCAAGTTACAAGCCAGAGAAAACTCATGCTTTCCACACCTTGAAAAACCAGTGTCGGCTGTGTTCGCTGTTCGATTGGGCAATATCAAAGAGTTCCACATTGGTGGGATTCCGTTTGATATCCACTTGAAATAATTTTGTGTAATACTACAGCACAGTACTGTTCAGAACCTCTTTAGCATTTGCAGACACTACCTTAAGGTCATCTTCGTCAAACGCAAGACCCATCGATTTATTTATCTCCTCCAGAGCTAGCCTTCCTTTCTTAAAAGAAGAAGAAAGAACATATAAACAAGTGCAGTGGAAAGGAGAATAACGCACCTCCATGACCGGTATAAAATATATTGGTTCCGGAACCACATTTATTTTGAATGTGCTTAATGGTGTTGGATATACGGTTTCAGTCATCCTGTCGTGAACCTGAGTGAGAAAAGTTATTAAAAAGGAGAAAAACAAAGCAAGCTTACCATGGAACTGAACTTATTTATTTGTAGCTCATCTAGAGGAGAGGTGCCAGGACTCAGATTCAATAGATATCTGCGAGATCTCTCAATACGATCAATTTCCTGCAAATCACAGGACTTGAAGATTGACAAGGCATTCGCGGACCAGGCCGTAGTAAATGAGAGTCGAGGTCCAAATTCAAGCAGTATAGCCCCTGTTGAACGTAAAGTTAGTTGCAAGGAAAGTACAATGTACGCTAATTACATACTGTCGGATTTCTCAGACAGAGAACTTGTCGAGAGAAGGTTCTCCGGTTCAAAAGTTTCTTGAAGAAGCCATTTCAGATGTTTAAGCTTGGCTTCTGATAGAGGCGCCTTCAGCGATATGTTATAACACTTTCAAGTAACACCATATTAGCCAGACACTGTAGCATATATATATAAAAGAATAACCTGTTCCGTGTCAATGGATAGAACTTCCCCTGATACGTCAGATTGGACCTGTATGACGCTATCAAGATCATGCAACACAGATTCCCACTCGCAAAGAAATGTCCACCTTTCTGAGAAGTTGAGCGGTAGCATTTGATGAAAGGAACGGGCGTCGATAGTAATGAAGCATTTCGGGAAGAGCTTCATCGCTTCCCAGAACAATCTGTGAGGAAAAAAAACGAAACCATCAGCCATAGACCAAACCAAAGATTTCATAGAAAAAATCCTTACTTGCTGCTGCTTGGAGGCTACACCACGAGGAAAAGCTCCAAAAATGCGAGAGCTTGCGGACGAGAATGCGCTCTTGCTTTGAGCTGCAAAACAAACTAGAAATTCTCACAAGAGGAAAGAAGGAACCTTTTCCAAACTCGATCGAGAGGAATCCATACCCGAGAAAGCGGCCGGACAAAAAGCTCTCCGCGTCTTCTCCCCCGGAGCGATGCTACAACACAAATTTCGCACGAGATTACGATCCGCGGCGAGGAGATCGAGCGAATACCTCGGCTGGCGCTGGAAATGCGATTGGACGAGCTGCGCCTGGCCGCAAGACATCGCGCCCAAAGCTTAAACCCCCCGAAACCCTAATCCAAAGAGCGCATATTGCAAGGATATACTGTTCTTCCCATGGCGGATCGCGGCGGCGGCCCTAGCGGCGTGGAGCTGAGGGTGGACAGCGATCGAATCGGCAAGGCCGTGGACGCGCTGCTGCGATGGGTCGCGGGCGCCAAGGATCAGCAGCGCATTCGTCTCCTGGACGAGGATCAGCTCCTCTATCTGGTAATCTCTCTCCGGAAGATCCCCGAGAGCGCCCGGGTGCGCCCTCACAGGATTCCAATCCCACACCCGCTGATAGAGGCGGGCGGGAGCCAGGAGGTTTGCCTCATCGTCAACGACCTAAGCCGCGGGATGCCGCGCAAGGAGGCCAAGAGGAAGATCGCGGAGGAGGGTCTCAGGGTTTCCAAGGTGCTGGGCTTCTCCAAGATGAAGAAGGACTTCGCGAGCCACGAATCCAAGCGCAAGCTCTGTGGCTCGTATGATCTCTTCCTGGTGGACAGGAGGATCCAGCCCTTCCTCTCCAAGGCCCTCGGCAAGGCGTTCTACCAGAAGAAGAAGATCCCCATTCCAGTGGACCTCTCCAAGGGGCAGTGGAAGAGCCAGTTTGAGAGCGTTTGCAGCTCCACCTTCTTGTTCCTCTCGACTGGATCGTGCAGCGTTGTCAAGGTGGCCAGGATCTCACAGACGAGGGAGGAGATTGTGGAGAACTTGATGGCGGTGATCGACGGGGTGGCGGGGTTGATGCCCAAGAAATGGGACAGTATCATGGCGCTCCACTTGAAGACGATGGACTCGCTTGCCCTGCCAATCTATCAGTCCAAGCCGAGCTTCCCGCTCAAGATCGACGTGAATTTCGGGAAGAAGACAAGGCCATCGGGCGTTGGAAAGCTCGATCCTTTGGTGGTGAAGAAGAAGATTGAGAGTCCTCCGAGAACCTCTCCTCCGGTGACGATGGAGAAGAAGACGGCGGGCTCTTGGAAGAGCTCGTCCAAGAAAAAGAAGAAGCTCAAGGAGCAAGTTTAAGAAGAAAGTCTGCCCTAAAAATCTCTGAGCAGGAAAGTTAGCAGCAGGAAATGTTTTGCAAGAACAACTGAGCTGCATGAACGCTTTAGCAATTTGAAAAGAAAGTGAGTTGCATTCCGTTAGCTACTTTATAATTTGTTTCCTTTATTTTGGTTTTTTATTGGACTTTAAACATAGACCCAGTACCTTATTCAGTACTAGTTGGTAATTGGCCACCAATGCTAGGCTGTTGCACCATCAGAAGAGCTAAGATCCCCACTAAGTAAAATATTTGGACTGTTATAATTTTGTCACACATCACACCCCACTATAGAAAAGGGAAAAAACATCATCGTTAGTTCCTGGACAAAAGTCCTTGAGCTCCAGAGTATAAGGCCATAGTGCTTGTTGATTCCAGAAGCAGAGGCATCAGGCAATTCAGCAGCCACAAACCTCACCTTGTCAAGTGCAAGATCCTGCTCTCTTATTGGCATGTTGGCATGGCCCTGCTCTCCTCACTTGTCTAGTGCAATTTGCCTTACATGCAGAAATCTGAAGTTTTTTCCAAGAATCCAAAATGTTCAGTGGGAAATGTATGCAGCACCTGGCTCTTCAGATTTGCAGCACACAATGCTATGGGTTCCAGTTGTCTAAGAAAGAAATGCCACGTAAGTTAGTGCTTCGAGCTGATAGGTGTCTTCTTTCATGATACAAGTTTAGGGATTGTAAGCATTAACTTCTTCAGCTTTAGCATTTTATACTTGTAAAACTCCTAGGAATTTCTTTTCTCCTTTGCCAATAAGTCTTAATTGATACCTTTTCAAATTCCTATTAAATTGCTCTAATTTCTCTTTCAATTGGCAATAAAATGATAAATAACCCATTTATGCATCATAAATAATCAAACTTTCCTTCTACATTAGTCTTTAACTAAAACACTTCAATTTTATCCACATTAAGCCTCATGAGTTACAAACTCCAATCCTTTTATCATACAATACATTATTTCATACATCAATGCTGCTATTACATCTTTGCAATTGGCAAGATCAAAATAAAAGGTATTATAACTAGTAAAGAAGAAATATTCTTCCAAAACTCATAATTGAAAATTGTTGTATAAACATCTTTAATATCTTTTGTGTGATACCACTTTGACAATCTAAATTCTACATTCACTATAAAATCGTCAAAAACAAACATTTTTAAGTTGGTTGACCATTTCACTATTCAAGATTCATGGAGGAAGTGTGCTCGCTCACATTGTCCAGCATTAGCTGGGCAAATTGCTGCTTGTTAGTAGTCGGGCAGCCAGGGGCTTCAATCCCCGACTTCCTCTCGCTTTGGAGCGCTATCGGTCTTCCAGAACAAAGCGCTTCGACCGGAGAACAGTGTGACTACCCCGCCTGAACTGATACACCTCAACACCGTCGTGTCTGATGCTGAGGCTGCGCTGGAATTACCCTCATATGCCTGTGTGCCGCCAAGACCATCGTCGTGCAAAGCAGCTACACCCACGGCATTCCCAGTTCGGCAGACCATGCTCGTTTTGAGCATCCGATGTGGTTGGACCTTCCGTAGTCACAACAGCATGCTTGTCCTCCATTTTCGACATGTTGCAATCGTTGTGTACATGCCTGTTCGACCCGGAGCAACGAAGATTTGATCGCACCTGGTAGAACTCTTGAGGGACAGTTTCATTCCAGGCGATGAAGCTGCATATCTCGAAGCCCGAAGAATGGGAAAGTGAACCCATTCTCGGTAGCTCCAACCTCGTCGAGTGTTTTCAGTCATGTCTGATGTGCAAAGCCTCTTCTTGAGTGCACCTCTCGATCAGCCATTCTTCTTGCGAATGCGCGCCGCGATTGCCGAGTACGAGTTTGGCGCGTAACTGAAAACGAACTCAAGCTTCGAATGTGAGTCTATTACCTTTCAATCTCTTCTCCAGAGCTTATCGTGTCCCTTCAAGTCGAAACCTAAACCCTGACGTGGCCAGAAATGGAGCGAGTTTTTTTTTTGTCCTCCTCAGCATGTATTGCAAGTGTTTGATCATCTCCGAGTGGCGTGGCCGAGACTGTCACCTCCTTCGTAGTTATCATTGAGAAGTACAAACGGGAGCGACAGTCCTCTCAGTCTCTTGTTCTCCGCGATAAAAAAATTCCCGGAACAGTTTTCTCTTTCGTTTGATGGTGCTCGTCCGAACAGTTAGGTTGCGGCTGTTCTTTCTTTTTCACCCCAAAGTTTAATGCAAGTGCTGTGGTCCTTGCTGTTTCAAGGTGCATCCTGGACTTTACATTCGCAAATGGAGTCGAAAACGGACAAACGATTGTCATGTTCCGGAGGGATTTTGTCCGTGAGGTGTTTTGTACGAGACAGAGAAGGACGACATTAAGAGCTTGCCGGACACGTAGAGCCGGACGTTGCAATCAACGTCTGCTCCAGATTGCAGACTTCTGTCAATGAAAAAGAAAGGAGATAGAGATTTATTTTTAGGAACTTCCTTCAAAACATATTTAGATTAAAAATCAAAATTGAAATGGTTATCATTTTAATTTTACAGCTTTTTCACAATATGCTCTCAAAGGGTAGATGCTGCTTTAGCACCTGAAGGAGATCATCAGTTACACGCTCCCACAAAGTCAGTCTTGCGTCACCTTTCTCCAAAGAGTGAAAGGACGGTGCTTATAGCTGCGAAAATTCCTGTGAAAGAAAAAAGAGCTGGTCTAGATCATGCGTTCCAGCTGTGGAAACAAGAACAAAACCACAGAGCATGCCAAGTGCCGTGACTCGGGCCAAGAAACGAGAATAGTTTCTCCATTCCAAAAACGTGTGACAGACGGAGAGGAATTTCGGAGGGTCAAACTTTTCTATCTTTTCCTCCCCGTTTGAAACTTCGCCCGCCCACCAGAAGGAAGACGAAGGACGCAGTACAAAGCGGAAGCATTCCTTGTCAAAACCTTGAATGCCGCGTTTCCAAAAGCCTCTGCGCTGCTACAAAAACTACACTCTTTGCCTTTAGTCTTCCAAGAAAATTAGGAAAGGTGAGAGCCAAGAGGTCGAGCTTTGAGCTCCACTGTGAATCAAAGCTTTAATTTTAGGCGGGACTGGGATCGCTAGGTGGTGATCCTTTTCGAAAAGTTTAGTTCCCTGTCTCCTCTGGCCTTTTACTAGCTGCGAGTTTTCCATTCGCTCTCCTCGATTAATCAATGTGCAAGGCCGACAGGACGGAAGAACGCCGGAGAGAAAAAGAAATGCCGCAGCAGCAGCAGCAGCAGCAGGATCGAGCAGTGGTGATCCGGCACAGCTCCTCCGAGCAGAGATTGTCCCTCCAGGAGCAATTCGACAAGCTCGAAGTGAGCAGCACTTGCAGCTCCAGCAGCAGCAGCAGCTATGGATCCAGCATTACCACCAACAGCGTCAGTAGCAGCAAGATCAAAGTTACCTTGCTCTACCGGAAGGCCGACAACTTCATCCTCTACATGGAGGCCGGCAAGGACTTCGTCGACTTGCTGCTTAGCTTCCTCACGCTCCCAATCGGCACGGCCATGAAGCTGCTCAGGGACGGCGCCGGATCCAAGCCCAGCGGTGGCATCGCTAACATCTACAGCAGCCTCCTGGATCTGGACGAGTCGCTGTTCTACGTCGACAAGGAGCCGCTCGTCTCTCCAAAGCCGCTAGAAAGCCCCGAGTTGAGCATCGATCTTCTCAAGCCGAGCTTTGCTGCTGGAATTGAAGGTGGCGGCGGCGGCGGTGGTGGCACCACTCCAAAGAGAAGCATTGTCTACTACAAGTGTTGTAACCACGGCTGCTTGAGATTTGTCATCGATCTTCCCGGCCAGATCTGTCCCGTTTGCAAGTTTGCGATGAGTCACAAGCTGGAGCTCATCCAGCCCAAGGCCTCGTATCCGCCATCGCCAGTTGCTACTCCGACTACTCCGGTTGCTGCTGGTACACCGCGGCGAAAGGACAAGGTTGGCTACGTGAGGAAGAACAGGACCTTCATCATCACCGACAGCCTCGAGATTTTGCCGCTCTCGTCCATCACCGGGGTCATCCTTCTCAGCAAGCTCAAGCTTGACAGCCTGAAGGACTTACAAAGTTGCCAAGTCTGTGTGGGAGTTCCAGAGGTACGTTTCTTCCTCTGCTTGTGTTTTATAACCTTCCGTCCGCCTGCTTTACTGATTCTCATCTCCATTTTCTTTCTCTTGCCAGGTCCTGGAACTGCTCAGAGCATCCTTGAGCTCGCAGACAGCACTTAATGATGTTTTCGGGTCAAAGAAGAAGTAGCTTCGATCGGATCGTTCTTTTTTCAATAGAGTTTTGCGAACTTTGTAGATCGGGTTCTGCAAATAGAGTATACAAACATGAGAATATATAAATATCGACCGTACCAGAAATAATCGAGTCAAAAAGGAACCTCCAACTTCTAAAGCTGCTGGTCCAATGAAACTCCCAATTGACATAGCCAAAAAGGAAGCCATCACAGCAATTGCCTTAGTGGCTGGTGGGCCACACAAAAAGAGAGACAAAATGAAAGGGAAAAGTCTTACGATTTTCGGTTCTTGATCGACCAAACGTATGAAAGAATGCAGCTAGATGCGAACCAGTGTTTCGACGCTGAATGGGAAGTTGTAAGGTGGCCCCTTGTCGTAGAGCATCTCCACCAGGAATTCACAAGTTCGGCTCGACGGATGATAGGCGTCCCAGAAGTAGTATTCGGAGGCGTCATTACAAACGGGGACCCCAGGAACACAGCTTTGTATCTGCTTAAACACACCGCAGCAAGCATCGTTCACGTTTTTTATTCCTGTAAGAAAAGTTCCACCTTTTCTTCGTTAGGGAAAAAAATTGGGAACTCTGTGACTCACCGAATGGAGCGGGATCTTGGACGATGGACATCATCTGGTAGTACAGGTCCGAGTAGACGATGTGAGCCTCTGGCAGCTCGTGGTTGAGAGCGGTGAGCGCACGATGAAGAGCACGGTTGTACTTCATCACGGGATTGTTCAGGAAGTGGACGCACGAGCTCCTGCCATACCTGGCGAGCTGCGCAGGAACACAACCCATCGCTCCAACCCCAGCGATCACAAACTTTCGTGCTCCCAAGTTGTAAAGTTCCTGAGGCTCGAGTGTCAGAGAAATCACAGAAGAGAAGAAAAAACACTCACTCTGGTTTGCTCCAGCAGCTTGGAAAGGAGTGTGTTCTGAAATCTCAGATTGGAAACAGCTCCAGTTAACGGGTATGTCATTGTATAGTCGTTGTTCCCTGTGAAAATGCAAAAGAGAGACCTGGATAGCATCTCGGTTGCATTGGCTGAGCCAACCATGGAAACCAGTTCTTCCTTTACTTTCGCAAAGTTTTGCACTTGCTCGGTGATCTGAATCAGCTGGCCCTGGACAAACTACCGTGATCTAGCAATGTTCTAGGCTCGAATATAGAAGACTTACAACATTGATATTCGTTATATCGAGGATCCCAGACCCAGCAGAAGCGAAGTTGACCCCGCTGAGCATCGCAAGTCCTTTAGTGGACGGATCCATGAACGCTGGCAGCAATGGCAATCCCAACCTTGCCGCTGTATCCAGACAAGGAAACATCAGTCCAGCATCTAAAGTCACAAAAACATACCAAGAAAGTCGATTTGATTCCTTCCGTTGGTGAATCTCCCAGTTGGTTTTCCGGTGTCAAATTCTCTTCCATAAGGTGGAAAGTTCGCTTTCGCAAGAGTGACAAGGTAGTTGTTGTTGCCGACATCTGCCAAGGAGTCACCGAATGCAAACAAGGCAGGAACTTCGGCAGTAAAACCAGAACGAACAAAAGCGGGAAGAAGCAGTGCAAGAAACGTAGCCAACCTTGGACACATTTTTGTTCTCCTCAGTGAGGCCTAGCTGCGGGTTTAAATGCTCAGGCGCACTAGCTCTAGCGCGTTGTAGCTCCACAAAGTACGTCCCAGGCTGCTTTGCCAGTGTTGTTGATAAGGCCTGTCAAGAATAAATGGAATCGTGACATCGTTCCCGGTGCATAAATGCGCGCACAGGCCATCATTTCAAATGCTCGCAGACAGGTTGGAAAATACTCTTTCCTGAGAAGAAATTACATCCAAAATCAGTCTAAGACAAGAATATCAATAAAAATCACCAAGCCAAAGTAAATCCCGTGTGGTGCTGCCACAAATAGTACATAAAGGTGCCGTGTAGTTGAGCCCTCGCATTAGTCCCTTGAAAAAGAGCGTGAGTACCGTCTTGCAGCCATAACCGGGGACGGGCTGCCAAATAAGATATGGCTTCAGCAAACTAAAGAAAGAAAGCTCAGTGTACCTTCGACTTAAGGACCTTCGAGAACCATGCCCGTTGCCTTGTGGACTAGGACTTGGACCACGGTCAGAGATTCCCGGTGATGGCCGATGCCGAGACCGCGTTTCTCTCCTGGGCGAGGGAGAACGGATATTGTTCTGGTGGTGGTGGTGGTGAGGGCTCGGGGACCTTCCGTATCGTTCGTGAGCATCCCTAAGGTACAAACTACAATCTCAAATCCATATCAGGAAGTCTGGATTTGAACGTTTACCTGGACGAGTGATACCTTCGAGGCCGAGGCGACCGAGACCTCGAGCGAGCTACATCAAACAAGAAAGCTCAGCTACAAAATGAGGATCATAATGTTCACTCACATCTGTAACGCCGAGGAGATCTAGGCGGGCTTCTGCGATAACCTCCACCATAACGACCAGAGCTCCAGCTCCCACTCCGACTGAAAGAAAAAAAGTTTAAGACTTTATACTTTCACGAGGCGCACCTTGTCTTTATCCGCATCTCAGACGGTTTTTTTCTGTTTTCCTCGGCGAAAACAACAGTAATTTCTCGTCCGCCTAACAACTGGTGATCCATATTAAACTTAGCGTCAGCTGCATCGCCCGGCTCTATGAACTGGACAAAACCAAAACCACGAGGTTCCCTGTAACCCACATTATCCACAAGCAAGCGTCAGTACACCACAAGGAGTTAATCACACCAAAAAATAAAAGATTGAAAAGGTTGCAAACAATATCACACGTTATGCAAAGACTCACCTATCATAAGGCCTGCACAAGATTGTCTTGTGACCATACCTTACAATATAGGCGATCATTGCAACTGTCTTCAATCTTGGAAGGAGGAAAGGTATCACCCATCATCAATCTTCAATGCACACAGGCTCATAGGAAACTTTGGCATACTTCAGAGAACTTCTAAGCCTCAGGGTCTTGGATCCAACGTCAAATGCAAAACTTCTACCAAAACTCTCTTATCAGCCACTTCTCTTCAATCCTGTAGCACACTCGCAGACTTATTACGCCGGCATTGCAATACAGGGAGGGAGAATGGGAGGGAACATTGAGATTTGAAAAAAAAATAAAAATGAAGGAAACCAGCGAAAGAAAGAAGAAGAAAAGGGACTTCCAACTACGAGACAACGAAGAGGAAATAACTAAAGAACTCGTCACGTACCCGGAATAATAATCTTTCGGGAGATAGACGTCCTTGACAGGCCCAAACTTCTCGAATGGCACACGAACTTCTTCGGGCCTGGAAAAAAGATTCCATCCGTCATCCATTCCCATCGAAACCCCTCGCAATCTATCGAAATCCCTTCGAAAAATCCCTCACCTGGCCTCGCGCGGGATGTTTCGGACGAGCAAGCTGCAAGGAGGAGAGCGGCGCCACTCGCGATCGCCGCGCCGCATTGGAGGATCATCGGCATACCTCCGTCGCCGCGGCCCAGGGCTGCGGCTTCTTGGGCTGTAGCTCCGGCTCCGGCTGCGCCCCATTGCGCTCGAGAAAACCCCGAGAAACACTAAAAACCCTAGTACTCAAACAAGAGAGAAGGAGGATATTCGCCCCTTATCTAGTCTCAAAAACTATGTACATACATCCTTTAAAACTAGGAGGATATATCTTTGTCTTCGTCCATATCGGCTTGGCCGCCAGCGTCATCGTCTTCTTCCAGCTCTTGTTCTCGTTCTTGCTTCTCTTCTTCCATTTTTCTTGCGAGGATCACGGAGACCTGGACACATTCTCACTGGTTTTAGCGATGATCTATGCAGTAGCAGCAGCCATGGAAGAGATTTCCAAATGCATGGAATGCGAGTAGAAGAACTCACAGGAACAAATCGAATTGCTGGAGAGTTTAGCTGCTCCTCCGCGGCATCGTCTTTGCTCACTGCGCGTCAATCACACACGATCCAGCTCAGTCCGCAAGGAAATTGGGGCAAGAAACCTGAGATCGGGCTCCATTTGTAGAGCAGGACCCTGGAGCTCGCATGCGTCGCCGAGGTAGTGACGATCGGTGCCCAGGACTTGCGCCATTTCCTCACCGGGCCCTGAAACACTACCGATCCGGGGCCGTGCCGCGTCGAGGATCTGCTGCCCATGCGCGTGCTTCCTCCCTCCATCGCTATAAACCCTAACTCAAACTCCCACAGCCGTCGGTTCTAGCTAGCGGAATGCGTGCTCCGCCGTTGGATTTCATGGATACCGTTATGGAAAGATCCCGAAATTTCGGAATGTCCACCGTAATGTTCATTCATTTTGAAATAGCCCTACTTCCCTCCTCTCTGGTTTCTTTGCTCAGCGGCGTGCTAGGGCATTGCCATTGGTGCTCTATGATCTCGCCAAGCTCGCCTTGAGATCTTTCGCCTTGGTCGCTCAGCACTGGATTAGTTCTTCCGGGAATGAGGCTGCTCCGGCGGAAGATCAAGAAGACAGACGCCAATGGCAGGGTAGGGCTTGCTTTCCAGCTGAGAGATTTCTTGTGTTGTCTCAATATTTCGCTGGCAGATCGAGCTGGAGCGAGTCATTGGACTGACTGTGACGAATGCGAGCGGTCTAGCGACCAATGCAGCTACTGGCGAGGTCGCCTACATTGCTGGATGCGTGGTCGTGATCTACAACCCCAAGACGAACACGCAGTCGCGGTTTTTGATCGCCAACAGGACTCCAAAGGCAGTGTCATGCGTCGCCTACTCTTACCACGGGGGAAAACTCGTCGCTGCTGGAGAGGTATTCATTCACTCACTGGATTTTTTTTTAACTTAGAAGCTCTTAATGTCTCATTAACTTCTTCCTTTCAGTCGGGGCACCAACCTGCTGTAATTATCTGGGATTCTATCAGTGGACAATGCATGATCGAGCTCAAAACCCACAAGATTGGGATTTCTTGTGTCGAGTTTTCTCCCAATGGTACGCATGCATTTTTCTCAGCATGACAATCTAGGCTTACTTATGTCTCCACAGGGAGGCACATTGTATCTGTTGGAGTTCCACACGACGGATTTCTCTGTCTCTGGGAATGGAGAAGCGGGACACTGCTTTCTAAAACTCGAACGAGTACAGTCTCATCTCCTGTATCATCGGTCCACTATGCGTCCGACGGGAGCTTCTTCATAACAGCTGGTATCAAGCATCTCCGGCAATGGTCAGTAGTACAAGGCGGACGAGCTCGCCCGACGGCTGCAAACGGCTCCACACTCGAAGGCAAAGCTATCAACCTGGGTAGCCAGAAGGATGGTTCCTTCGTGTCGATCTCATCGTCGAAAGATCCAGCGGCGCAGTCTGCTAATATACATCCCATATACGTCCTGACAAATGCAGGTCTGTACCTCTTGGACGTCGAAGTTGTTCTCTGTTCTGACCACATCTTGTACAGGTATCTTGTGTCTTCTACACTTGGGAATAGCTGTCGAGAAGTGGGTCGATCTCAAGGTTTTTCCAATGCTTTATATTCTGCTGTGGGTCTAAGATTATTTGACAGGTTCGCCGTGGCTTTGACTTGGCTGTGTCGGAAACACATGTAGCTTGCGCCTGTAGCGATGGAATCGTGAGATTGTTCGCGCTTGGGACTCTTGCATATGCTGCTACACTTCCACGGCCGGCACCATATGGATATCATGGGCTTACAGACTCCAACATGTGCACTGCTCTCTCAGTAGGCCGTGTGCATGGCATCAATTTTCCGGACGCTGTCGCCTGCTCTTTCATTGCCAGTGGTGACAGAATTGGTACTGATGGAGATGGATTCATGGTCGGTACTTTTCTAACGTGATGATTGATGCAGCTGTTGTCTATGGAGATCATAGTCTCTACGTATGGGACGTCCGCGATTTTTCTAAGGTCAGACAATAATAGTTGAGAGCCCGATGCAGAAGTTCTAACGCGAGCTTCCTACTAGATTTCTCGATGTCGGACGTTCCTCGGTCACGCGAGTTGCATTTGGGATGTCACCTCCGTTCCTCAGTTTCACGCTCTCAAGTCAAATGCTGGCAAGGAAAATGTCGTAGGCGGTGAATGCTTCGCGACATGCTCAGCGGATGGGAGTATTCGTTTGTGGAATGTTGGCCCGGATAAGGACGTATCTCAGGCAGTTGCTTCAAAATCAGCAAATGTTTATTGCAAAGACATTCTTGGAGTTCTATACACTGGTAAGCATTGTTTGCGAGCTTTAGCAGTTTTAAATCTAGCACGTTTCTCCTTGCAGATGTGAAGGACATCTTAAGGCCTTCTGAGCAGGATGTTGATTCTCAGGATTCTTCTCAAGGATTTCGAGCTATAAGCGTGAGCGCCGATGGGAAGTATTTGGCGTCAGGAGACCGCTCCGGCAACCTCCGTGTCTACGACCTGATGACTTTTGAAATGGTTTCATTCCAGGTACTTTTGAATATTTGTTATGGTTTTCTGTTAGAGAATGTATTCTTAGTTGATTCCTTTTGTCTGCTTGATGTAGAGTACTTCCTATAATGGCTGATGATGGCTTACCCTATAGGTTTCATTGTGAACATCATGGTGGATCCGAGCAGGAAGCACATGACGCCGAAATTTTGTCGTTAAGTTTCAGTGCTGGATTTCAAACAAGATCGGAAGAACAAATGCCGCTTCTAGCATCTGGAGGAAGAGACCGTTTAGTTCACATGTACGACGTTAATCGGTGAGTTAAGTAAGTTTTCTTTCAGTATATTAAAATGATAAGTATTTTTTATGACAGAAATTTTGAAGTCATAGAAACTTTGGATGATCATTCCGCGTCTATCACTGGAGTAAAGTTTGCTTGTGGAGGGACAAGATTACTTAGCTGCAGCGCCGATAAGTAACTGCTTAAGATGTTTTGTGCATATTTATTATCTGTTTTTTTTTTTCAGATCAGTTGTTTTCCGTCACATTGAATCGAAGGACGGTTGCACAAGAAGTTCGCGCTATCATCAAGAAGTTGCTCTGCGTGGTACGATATACGACATGGATTTACATCCCAATGAGAAGTTCGTGGTCACGGCGGAACAGGTGTTACATATCAATTTTGTATACTCGTTTCTGATATTTAGCTGCTTCAGGACAAGAAAGTGAACATTCTGAATCTGACTACTGGAAAACCAGTGAGAAATATTAAACCTGAATCCGACTTCGGTGAACCAATCAAGGTAATGCATAATTTCAAGTTGGTCCTGGCTCATGTTTTCTTTCAGGTTAGAGTTGACCCTAGCGGCACCTTTGTACTATGTTCGCACTCGGATAAGTGTATAAGGCTTTATGATTTTGCAAGCGGCGAATTACTAACGCATGCATCGGGACATGCTGAAGTAATTACTGGCATGTCTTGGCTACCCGACTGCAAGCATTTGATTTCAGTAAGTGTTTCGTGTTTCTTAATATTTCTTTCTATTGGGAGATTGATTTCAGGTCAGTGGTGACAGCTGCATTTTCATCTGGAAGCTTCCTCCAATCATGTCTCGGACTATGAGAAGAAAATTGATCTCTCAAGCAGAAGCTCAACCGCCGCCAAGATATTTGAAGTCTGCACTGAAGCGGTCACAGATAGGTCGCTTGAGAACAAGCAAAACATCATTGATCAGGTTGTCCCTCGTGGATTCAGCTCAGGAAAATCCAGCACTTGCAACAAACGAGGAACCTTCTTTTAAATTCAGCGTCTCAAAGCTGCCATCTTGGGCGCAGTCGAAGGTGGAGGAAGAGAACAGTGAAAGCTCAAAAAGAACCACTGCGGATAATCCAGAAGAAAATGCTCAATCTGCAGAGTCACGATGGGTCGAGGTGCTGTATTTTGTTGTGCTTCCATAGCTAACATGGCCAACTTTTGCAGAGAGTCGGAAATCACGGCTACAAGCTTGCAACGGAGGCGGGAGAAGAAACGCCTCCTGCAACCATTCATGTGAGCGGATTTGGTGCCCGCAGACGATTTTCAGTGGAAAATAGCGTAACAAATCAAGACAGCACGCCAGAAAGCTCATTAAATTCACAAACTGATGGGAGCCCCATGTCTAGTCCTAGAGACCCGCCAAGGTATATATGAGCTTTTCGTTTACCAAAACATTCTAACTTCACTTATTTTGTAGGAAGGAGACGCAGTGGAAAACTGTGCACACTGTCTTTTTTGATGAAATGGACTTTTTGCCAGATACAGGTCACGGAGATGAGGCAGCTCACCATTTTGGTTCTAGAGTCATTACAACAACTTTTGCTTCGAGTGCGGAAGAACAGGAAGATGGTTTAGTTGTATGCCTTCCGGAATATGAAGGTCCGAAATGCGGAGGACTGGGCACTTTTGAAGAAACAGTTATGTCCACGCCCAGAAAAGATGGTGGCAACCATGCTTTGGACAATGGGAAAAATGCCGGCGACCAGATTGTCGGCATAGACAGTGGGAGAGATGAAGTTAAAAACTGCAGTAGCTCGCCAATGGACTGTAATGTCTCTCCTGGCGACGACACTGATGGCTGGGACGAAAATTCTAGTCCACGCAGGGATCTTTTCAGTGCTCATTTCGACAAGCTCACATCGGCTGCCAAGGTAGAAAATGTGGAAAGCTCATTTTTACTCGTCTTAATACGCTTATGGCAGGCTAACTCTTCAACTCGAAGTAGTCTATCTGCACGGTTTTTTGCTCGGACAACTAGAACACCTATTGTACAAAATCAGGATGCTCTATTAGAGGACGATGACGTCACTAGTAACCCAGGTTGCTTATTGGCAGCTGAGCGTGAGCGTCTGAAGCTTCAAGAGCGTCAGGTATGCTAGTATCCCTGATAGATGTTGCTGAAAAAAGTCATGTTATCAGGATAAAATGGCTTCGGAGGTTCAACGCATGCGTGAACGTTTAGTAAATCTCGGGATGGCTGTGTGCGAAGGTGGCAAAGCGGAGAAGAGGCCTTTGGAAGATACCACTAACCAAAGCACTCCAACTAAGCACTTGAGCAGTAACAACTACGAACCAGAAGAAACAACACAACCAGATGATTATAAAATGCGTCCATTAGATGCACCCAAGAGACCTATGGTTGAAGCTGAGGATGTCTCTTGCGGAACTGCATCCACTATTGAGTCCGCTCCTTCATCTCCTGGAAACTTGGCTGATATGTGCACGAGTCCACAGAGTAAGATGTCAGCTTCACAAAACAGTTTTTCTAATGCTTAATTTCTCAGAAATGATGGAAGCGGTACCCGAATTTGGCGGATGCCTACCACGACCAGAGTGTGAATATGTTGCTGCTTTGGAAGATCTGGAACGGGCTGCTGAGCGAGCGACAAGCCTGTTTTCCGAGCTGCAAGAGTTTCCGGTGGACAACTTTGGCGTTTCGAACTTGGACTTGGCGGCAAGACTTACTCAGTCTTATCAAAGCGTACTCCCTGACGCTTTGCAGAAGATTCAGAACCTTGCAAACCAGCTATCTACTCGCGGTATTTTGACAGCCACTAGTGAAAGAGCAGCCGATACTCCAACCTCAGACAACGGTGAGTGCTCTTGTACTGCATTTCTATGCTTTACGTGCGGCTTTTGTTTCGTTCCAGGGCTTTTATCAAGGCCAAACACTGCTGCTTCACTTGGTGCTTCTGATGTAGCTCGTTCTTCAGTTGACATAGAAGGCCTTTTAGAGCGTTATTCAACCAGGTTCTCGGAGAATTTAGCACACCAAGTACTGGCGTTGGTGCAGAAGGGATTGGGCACTGAAACCAAGTGAAACATAGATTCTAGCCTGTAAGTTCGGTAGTACCATCGAACTGCTGAGTCGACGTTAACCGAAACTGATTGTCTTGTTCTGTTTCTGTTCTTCGAGGAAACCGTAGAGGTAGTTCGTAACTTATCAGTTTCGTTTTCTTCTTTTCGCAGGCCACAGCGTCTTCAGGAAGTACACTCCAGGTAAATCACCTTTTTCGATAATTTCTTGCTCCAACCTTGACTGACTTGGCAGATTCGATATGGGACCACATTTTTCACCTCAGCAACGAAAAACTAACGAGAGGTATAGACGAGACTTTGTTTTTTCTCACGCTTCACAGGTTGGTGGAGAAGCTTCTTTCGGAGATAACAAATGTGAAAGACATCCCCGAGTGATATGCGCTCGAAGTTCTTGCCACGGACTCCAACTTTTCGCACAGGATGATTTCGTGCGCATACACTTTCAATATCGTGCAAGACTAAGAATGAAATGTAAGTATACCAAACTCGTGAGTCCTGGTTTTGTGTACGAGATGCATGGCAGACGGTTACAGGCTTTTTTCTGCAAGGAAAGACTGATTTTTCCATTTCTATACTTGCCTTCCATGGCGTTTGTGTGTGTGCCCCGCTCGTCGTGCTCCAAGTGCTTGTCTTTCTTTTCCTTTCTTTTTTGCTTCTGGCTTCCACTGTGTGTCTTCGTTGTTTTCCAGTGTTAACAGCTATTTACTGATCGCGATCGTTTCAGTGAGCCAAGTACGTGGAATCGCTCTTTGGATCAAGCAAAGAAACTAGAGCTCCAACGAGCAGTGCTACTCACTTAAGCTACGATCTTTCAGTGGATTGGAGCATCAATTCGCCCGAGAAAGAGACACGGACAAAGAGCCCAAGAGGCTGTCCATGTGACGCGTTGACACCGCAGGAGAAGCGCTCGTTCTTTCAACTTAAACAAAGCGCGACACTACTACTAAGATAAGGAGGCGAGAAATCGGAGAGATCGAAGAAATCCAAAACAAAGGAATCGTCGCTCGGCTGCTCGCTGCTGGGTGGAAGATGATGTCAGGAAAGTTTGGTGTTTCTGGACGCTCGATTTTTTCCATTCCATCTCTCAAAAATTTCCTCGCGTTTTGTTTGTCCTCTGCGAGTGATGTAGTCAATTGGACTGGAGAAAATCAAACAAGGAAACACAAGGAGGGAATCTTTTGGACTGGAAAAGAATCTATCGCGTACAGAAGAAAGGAATCTCCGCATGGAGCGAGAGAGACATGTTTACAAACCATGGAGAGGGACAGGAGAAATCCCAAAAATCCCAATCCCATTGGTAGCGATTTTTCACCCGGTAGGTTAAAAGGAAAAGAAGGGCAAGTTAAAGGCGCGCGTTTTCACTATTTACGGGGGATCCGCTTTTTTGCCCCCGGACTTCACGCCCGCCTCTCCAATCCAGTTAGAGCTCTCGGGCTTTGCTTTGCGAATACCATAGAATAGAAAGGGAAGGGCGCACTGGTGTAATTTTCTCACATAACACACAATCCACACACAGGGAGGCTCCAGCCTCTTGTTATTTTACTCGCAGAGGGGGCAGGGCTCATCGCACAGCGCAGCGCACAGGGTGTGGAGGCCCTACTTCTCGTTTTCTTCCATCCCTTTCTTTTCACTGTCCATCCGGCCGCCAGTGCCGCTGCCGCGATCGCCCCAGCTCCTCCTCGATCCAGGGATTCGCCCCGCGGCTTCTAGGGTTCGCATTCGCCAGTCCTGTGCGGCGGCGCCGTGCGGCGGAGCTGGGGTTTTGGCGATGCGGCCAGCGTAAGCACAATGTGGGTGTGATTCCAGGGAGTCTTGGCCGGGGTCGTGTCCGGCGTCGCCGGAGCTGGCGGCATTGCTTGCTGACATTCGGGGAATGGTGGGATGGCTTCGTCGCCGAGATTATGGTAGATTTCCACGCGGTTTGGGGCGCAAATGCGTTGCCGTGAAGCAAGCCAGGGGTTTCTAGCTAGGGGCAGGGCGAGGCGTAGCTCGTTATGGCTTCCAGACGCTGCCACGGATCAAAGCCTCGCAGCTCCCAGCCCAGATTTTGTCAGCTCGATCCAAAGATTGGGTTGAATCGTGGGTGTCTATGATGGTGTAGTAGCTTGAGACTCACACACAGGAGGAGGCGGCAAAGAGTGCAATGAAGGTCTACTATGCTGGACCTTTCCAAGCTCGTTGGCTCCTCTGGAAACTTCTTCTTATTGAGGTACATGGTTTCTTCTCTCTTTCGTTTCTTCGCTTTGCTGGGCCGAGCTGACAGCTTGGTTTGTCATGTTTTCCAGGCTTTTTTTCTTCTCGGCTGGATTTCTGCCGCGTCGAGTAAGCTGGGTTATGGCGGGAAGCATCGGGAGGAGATTGGTGCCCCGCAGTCTCACTCGTGTATCCACGGGGAGATTTTAGAGCAGCGAAGGCGCTATGGATTGAAAGAGTACACAGTCACTCCGCAAATGTATGGGCGCAACAACAAGGAAGCTGCGACGGGGCGGAGATTGATGAGCTTGGACGAGCTGAGCTTAGATGGGCGGCGACCAATCCGGATCTTCTTGAATTACGACGCTGTTGGCCATTCGCCTGACAGAGACTGCAGAAAAGTCGGAGACATTGTCAAGGTGTGTTTTTTATATGCGAAAGAGGTCGTTTTTTATACGCGTTCTCTCCTGCAGCTTGGTGAGCCTCCTTCGGGTGACGGACACAAAGTGCCGTTCTGTAATTCCCGAGCCGATCCTCCTGTCTATGGCGATTGTTGGTACAACTGCACAGTTGATGACATCTCCGGGGAGGATAAAAAGCAGCGCCTGCACGAGGTAAAGCATTCGATGTAAGTGGCTGTGTGTGAGCTCCCAACTTGAGCAGGCTCTTGGCGAAACTGCTTCATGGTTTAGAAGAACACTCTCGGTTGAGCCCGTGAAAGGACCTTTAAGGCTGAGTGGGTATTCAGCGTGTGGTCAGGATGGTGGCGTGCAATTGCCCCGGCAATATGTTGATGGTACGCGTTTACGCTTTTTCTTGCTTTGGAGTTCTTTACGAGCTTTGTCTTTCCAGAGGGTGTCTGGGAAGCCGATTTAGTTTTACTTGTCACGACGAGGCCTACCACTGGTAACACGCTCGCATGGGCAGTTGCGTGTGAACGCGATCAGTGGGGAAGAGCTATTGCTGGTAGCATGCCTATTTTCCCGCTTGATGTTTTTGACGTTGTGCTTTTGTGAGCAGGTCATGTCAATGTTGCGCCAAGGCATCTGACTGCCGAGGCGGAAACTTTATTGTCTGCCACTTTGATTCACGAGGTTTGTGTCGTGTTTTTCCTGTCTTTAAGAAGCTTAACTGGGCCGTTTATTAGGTGATGCATGTTCTTGGGTTTGATCCTCATGCGTTCGCTCATTTTCGCGATGAGCGGAAACGCAGGAGAAGTGAGGTAATACAAAAGCTATAACTTTTGGGACTTGATCTTTAAACTTATTTGTGATTGCAGGTGGTTGTCCAGTCTTACGATTCGAAGTTACAACGAGCTGTTACACGCGTTGTACTTCCCCGTGTAGTGATGCATTCTCGCCAACACTACGGGGTATCGTTTCCTTTTCATGGTTCTAGTACTAAGTACAGACTTGTTACAGGCTTATTCCACTGAAATAGGCGGGTTGGAACTCGAAGATGGAGGGGGGAGGGGCACTGCAGGTATTTCTTTATGTTCGAGTGAATTTCGATTTTACTTTACGCTTTGCAGGCTCGCATTGGGAGAAACGGCTTCTTATGAATGAGATCATGACAGGCTCTGTCGATACTCGTTCAGTCGTCTCTGCTATGACACTAGCACTATTAGAAGATAGTGGCTGGTATCGCGCAAACTACAGCATGGCAGAGCAGCTTGACTGGGGCCGAAGTCAAGGAGAAGCGTTTCTGACATCTCCGTGTAATCAGTGGAAGGGAGCGTACTTTTGTAACTCAACACACTCTTCAGGTTGTACATATAATAGAGAGGCCGAAGGCTACTGCCCAATAGTTAGATACTCGGGCGACCTTCCGAATTGGGCGCGCTACTTTTTGGAGCCCAACAAAGGCAAGTGATCCAAGCTGCTCGGTTTCTGTTTTTTCATGGTTTCCTTGGTTTGCTTCTCAGGTGGACAATCTTCCTTGGCAGATTATTGTGCGTATTTTGTTGCCTATTCTGACGGTTCATGCACCGATGTCAACAGTGCTCGTGTACCTGATAAGATGCTCGGCGAAATGCGCGGGCATGATTCAAGGCAAATAGTCTTTTTTCTCCTTGGAATCTAATAATTCTGGATATATGTTTCAGATGCATGGCATCATCCCTTGTTCGAACGGGTTTTGTGAGAGGAACTTTGACTCAGGGGAATGGTTGTTACCAACACCGATGTGTAGGGGATAGATTGGAGGTGGGCATTTTATTCAAGAAGATATTTATATGGTTTGATATACCGTTTTATAGGTTGCGGTGGATAGCTTTTGGAAATCTTGTCCTCGGGAAGGTGGTCCCATTCAGTTTCCAAATTTCAATGGTACGAGTTGACTTGATGGTGTTGGTTGGTGCTTTAACCCTCCAAACTATGGCAGGAGAATTGATATGTCCAGCTTATTCGGAGCTGTGTGATGAGGTGCGCTCAATGCCTGGAGAGTGCCTTAATGGCTGTAATCTTAATGGCGAGTGCATTCAAGGGAAATGCAGCTGCTTTCTTGGATATGACGGCGAGGACTGCGGCACAAGTAAGAAATGCCTCGTGCCTTCATCCTTGCCTCTTTTCTGACATTGATGGCTATCAGGAACATGCCCGGATGGCTGTAGTAGTCACGGAACTTGCTCGTCATCTGGCGTCTGTGAATGCGAAACTGGATATACAGGACTGGATTGCTCAACAGGTATAAAAGCTCTAGCTTTATGTAACGACAAAGAGTGTTCTTTAACTTCCCTTTTGCTTTGCAGCTAGCTGCGACGAACAATGCAGTTTACATGGTGGTGTGTGTGACAATGGAGTGTGCGAGTTTAGATGCTCGGACTACGCCGGTTACACATGCCAAAACAGCAGTGCACTCATTCCCAGTTTGTCCCTGTGTGGGGACGTACTGAGTGGCGATGCGCGTGGCCAGCATTGTGCACCCAGTGAAGCCAGCATCCTGCAACAATTGGAAGCAGCGGTTGTAATGCCCAACTACAACCGCCTCATACCAAACGGCCGATCGTTTCTCAACATGTTTGATAATGGCTACTGTGCTGCCGCGGCTCAGCGACTTGCATGCTGGGTAAGGTTCCCAGCAATTCTTTTCGTTTGTGGCTGAGAGATCTCCTTTCCTTGTTCCTTTGGCTACACAGATATCAATTCAGAGATGCGATATGGATGGTGACAACAGACTTCGAGTCTGTCACTCGGCTTGCGAGTCATACAACAGCGCCTGTGGAGCCCGACTTGACTGCTCGGACCGAACGCTGTTCAGCGGCGAAGGCGACGGGGAGGGCATGTGTACAGGCGACGGAGCAGTCCGTCCATGGTGGGAACTTCACTTTCGGACGCTACTGCTCGCTGGCCTCCTCGTCACCACAACCTGCTTCTTCTTCGGGGCAATTCGACACCTTTGCAAGGGCTGCCACTCGTGGAGGGCCGGATTGGACGACAACACCGGCGGTGCCAGCGGCTTCTACACCATCCTGGAAGACGACGTTTACAACTCCAGCCACAGGTTTACAAGCAAGACAACAGGTGCTATACTCTCAGCCGTGAGCAACCAATTCATTTGCCGGAGCTTTTGGACTTACCTCTCTCCATCGCAGCCGCCGCGATTTGGCACAGCAACAACAGCAGGCAACAGATCATTGGCACCAAGTGTTTGGGAGAATAGTTAGCTCTCACAGCTCCAGCTTGTCATTAAGCTGTTTTTCCAGAAGCAAATGTACGAAGCTGGGCTTCCTATTTCCATCCGGTCTCTTATCTCCTAGAGGTAGCCTCGCCCTCTTGCTTATTTTCGCTCGTTCTTACAGTTCTCTCTCTCCATACTTAGGAACGCTGGCATGCAAACAGGGTCTTTGGCCAGAGAAAAAAAAGATGAGAAGATGAATCACTAGTGGAAAAGTCGCGCGTAGGCAGAGCTCAAACTTTGCATGAGCGCCAAGATTCGCGTTTTCGCATTATCTTATGGACTACTTTAACTTAATCTCCGGCATCGGTGGAGATCGCAGCAGGACGGAGCGCACCGCACTGCAGGAAAGCTTTATTCTTTTTTCTATTGCTTTTCTCACGCTGTGTTCTTCAGGGTCACCCGCATCTGAGGAAGGGAGTTTTTCGAAAGTCGTCCAGAGTTTTCTTCTCCTTTTCCTTAGTTCTTTCGACAGCATGACTCAAGGCTGACGAGGTGATTTCGTTTTGGGAGGACAAAAAGTGAGAGAGAGCTCGTCCTATCTTCCATTCCCTTTTCTGTTGACAATATTTTTGCTCCCTACTTAGATATTGGCTATGGCTGGAGCTGCTTTCATAGGCGCTGATGAGCGAGCTAGCAATTACGAGGCCAGGATTACCATCTATGTTGTCCTTGCCTGTATCGTCGCTGCCAGTGGAGGGCTTCTCTTCGGCTATGATATTGGGATTTCGGGTAAGGGTCATTTTCTGTTTCCCCCTTTTCTCATATATACAGTCTCTGGACAAAAAACGTATTTTGTTAGATGGTACTTAGACGAAAATGGGATTTTTATCTTGCAGGAGGTGTGACCTCCATGGATCCATTCCTCAAGGAGTTCTTCCCAGTTGTCTACCGGAGAAAACACAGCCCGACCGCTTCCACCGACGACCACTACTGCAAGTATGACAATCAGGGCCTCGCAGCTTTCACGTCCTCGCTCTACATTGCCGGCCTGATTGCCACTTTCGGAGCTTCCTACACGACCAGAGTTTTTGGAAGGAAGCCGACAATTCTAATCGGGGGCTGCGCGTTTCTCATCGGTGCTGGCTTAAACGCTGGAGCGGTCAACTTGGCAATGCTAATCATCGGGAGAATCATGCTGGGAGTGGGGGTTGGCTTTGGAAACCAGGTATGTTACTCACGTGAAACAAACATTTCTTTCTCTTTCCGTGCGAAAGTAGAACTAAAGCTGGCTGTCAATTCTTTCACGCAGGCAGTGCCGGTTTACCTCTCGGAAATGGCTCCTCCGAAATTCCGGGGAGGCTTAAACATGCTCTTCCAGCTCGCCACGACTCTAGGAATCCTGATTGCCAACTGCGTCAACTATGGAACGCAAAACATAAAGCCTGGGGGGTGGAGGCTTTCGCTAGGATTGGCAGCAGTTCCAGCATCTCTGATGACTTTCGGGGGCCTGTTCTTGCCGGAGACACCAAACAGCCTCGTCCAGCGTGGCCATCTTAAGGAAGGCAAGGCCATTCTGGAAAAGATCCGTGGAACCACCAGCGTGGAAGCTGAGTACCAGGACCTGTTGGAGGCCAGCGACGTTGCAAAGACGGTGAAGCACCCGTTTAGAAACATCTTCAAGCCGAGGAGCCGGCCTCAGCTGGTGATGGCCTTCTTCCTCCCTGCGTTTCAGCTCCTCACAGGCATCAACTCCATCCTCTCCTACGCGCCGGTGCTGTTCCAGAGCCTCGGTTTTGGAGGAAGCGCCTCGCTCTACTCGTCGGTTCTCACGGGTGCCGTGATCGTCTTCGCTTCGCTGCTCACCATCGCCACTGTGGATAGATGGGGACGTCGGAAGCTCTTCATGCTGGGAGGAGTTCTCATGGTCGTCTGCCAGGTAAAACTAGTTCTTTGTCTTTCTAGTTTTTCCATTCATCCAACTTTCGCAAGCACGGATTGATCTTTGCTCTTGGCTTCCAGGTTGCCATTGCGATCATCTTGGCAGTCAAGTACCAAGGCCAGGAGTCCCTCTCCAAGCAAAACTCAGCGCTCGTCGTCGTCCTCGTCTGCTTCTTCGTTCTCGGATTCGGCTGGTCGTGGGGGGGCCTCGGCTGGCTCGTCCCCAGCGAGATCTTCCCGCTCGAGACTCGCTCCGCCGGACAGAGCATCACCGTCGCAGTGAACCTCCTCTTCACCTTCGCCATCGCCCAGTGCTTCCTGGCCATGCTCTGCGCCTTCAAGTTTGGGATCTTCCTCTTCTTCGCGGCGTGGGAGGCGATCATGACGCTCTACGTCTTCTTCCTGCTGCCCGAGACCATGAACGTTCCCATCGAGGAGATGATCAACGTGTGGCGGAAGCACTGGTTCTGGAAGAACGTCGTGCCGCCGGCGTCAGTGGACAGAGAGCAGCAGCTCGCGGTCAAGTAATAATTCTTCTATACAACCGCCTAGTACTATCTTCGTTGACCATAGTGGACCTGTCGTTAGGTTGGCAAAAATGTTTGTCTTTGTTAAAAATTAGGGCAGAAACTATAATAATTAAAATTAAGCAAAAAAAGCTAGTATATAGAAAATTAGCGGAGATGTAGCGGTTAGAACAAGCGCCAAAGCTCTGTTTGCCCGGGTTCAACTCCTGGCATCTCCATAGCTTTTTTTGTTAAATTAGAGCGCATTTGCTTCCGGAAGAACTGAAACACATCCAAATTAATTTAGATAATTTGGTCAAATGCTGACATCTTTTAAATGTGGAGTAAATTACAGAGCAGCCTCAACAAGTGGCCAGTCCGTGTATCCTTTGGGATCATCCATGGGATCCCTACTGTACCATGTAGAAGTTGTCCAGCCGCCCATGTTGAGCTCTTGGCCCGCCGCCAGGAGCTGTGGGAGGTTGGCATTTGCAATGAAAAGAACTGCAAAGCAGACGAGGTCGCAAGTCCCCTCCTCCACATACTCTTCTGCCTGTATCAACGTCATCGTTAACATTCTCAACTTTGAGTTTCACTGCGGCTCACCTTCTGTGGCTGGATTCCCCCGTTGATCATGAGCGTTCCCTTGAAGTGCTTCCGGAAGAACTGAAACACGTCCGTCTCAAAGTTTGGCTTGTCCAGGCCCAGGAACTTGTAGTATGGATCGTAATTGAGGCTGGACATGCAAACGTAGGCGAGATCTCGCTTCTCCAACTCCGGACCCAGGTACGCAAGCTGATCTAGAGAGTCATCCTCTGGCTCGACCAATCCACTGAATGTCACACCTAGTTCCACAAGGATCATTGAATCAAAATCGACAAAGTAAAACTCTTCTCCCACCTTGCTGGAGCTTGATCCCAACCCTGTGCGATCCAATTGCCTTTGCACACGCATCCACAACCTGGTCAACAAATGCCCACAGCCGAGTCAACCACGGTCAGCGCGCCCAGTCAACGAAAGTCACCTCGAGGACAAAGCGTGCCCTGTTTTCAACGCTCCCTCCATACTCGTCCGTCCGGAGATTCGTCTCCTTGGCCAGGAACTGCTGCATCAAATACCCATTACCACTGTGCAGCTCGATGCCGTCGAATCCTGCCTCGATCGCACGGGTGGCAGCCGCCGCGACCTTGTCCACCTCCGCGGGGATCTCCTCGAGCTCCAAAGCTCTTGGAACTTCATACGGGACCTGGACAGAGATTCTCACTTTCACCACATCCAGTACGAGCGTGGGTATTTTACCTTCCCTTCCCTGACGTGGACCAATCCGCTGGGTTTTACCGCGGATGGCGCCACAGGGAGCATCCCGTCTGGGAGGAGAGAGGAGTGGGAAATTCGACCAGCGGGCATCAACTGGCAGAAGATCACCCCGCCCTTGGCATGAACAGCATCGGTGACTCGCTTCCAGGCCTTGATTTGCTCGGGGCTCCATATTCCGGGCATTCGTATGTAGCCTCGAGAGTCCGGGGTGGGATATGTCCCTGAAAGAGAGATCGACCTCACATCGATCGAACGATCTAGGCTCTAGCATACCTTCGCTGATGATGAGGCCTCCATTGGACGATCTCTGCGAGTAGTAGAGCACATTGAGATCTCCCGGAGCCTCCAGATCCGGGTGGTTCCTCAGGCGCGTCATAGGAGACATGGCGACGCGGTGCTGGAGCTGCGAATCGCCCACCAGGACTGGCTCGAGCAATCTCTTGTATGGAGGAGCCATTGACTAGAGAAACTGCGGTGGGCGATTCCGAGAGAAGCAAAGAAGAGATTGTGTGGATCTTGCAGAAGAACTCAACCCCATTTTATATTCAGCAGAGGATCACTTCGTGCTTTCCTTTGACTTCGTATAGCTTCCCCATGTCATGGTGACGTGCAAATGACGTCACTTCGTCCTCCATTGCCCGCGGGGGATTCGTCACTCTTGGTGCTCTCTAGCCTCTCAATGTTAACTCCAAGTTGCTAGATCAAGCCTTTATGTGGTAGCTCAATGCTCTCTTGATTCGTGATTCACATACCTGAAAAACGAAATAGAATTTTCTGCCCCAGCTATGGACTTCTCGGAGCGCTTCTTTGCTCACTGGAATCACAAAATACCAATCCAATTGCACGGATGACTCAAAAGAATTGCTTACCTGGGATCAGAGCGGCTCTGGAGGCAAGTGATTCTCAGTTTTTGCCGGGATTCTTCCACTCTAGAAGAGATTGGGCGGCAGCTGACAGCACTCGGGATTCTCCTCGTTCAAGAAGAAGAAGTATGCCGCAAATGCCAGGATCCCAATCAGGGCCAACAGCTCCAGCCGGATCCCCCACTCCTCAAACTCGTCCAGGATGGCGGAGCAATAGCAATCGATCCGCCTCACCGCCCTCGACACCCATTTCAGCCCCAAGCGGGGATCGTCGGGCCTGTGGCGGCGATTCTTGAGCAAGTAGAGCAGCGTGAGGCCGCCTGATACCGCCATTCCAACGGGCAGCGATCTGGCCGCCATAGAAGAAGAAATTGAAAGAGAGATGCGCGCGCAAACAGCCCTAAACGAAGGATGCCATTTGCCACGCTGCCATGGCCTTGACGTCATCGGCACGTCACCAAAGACACCAAGTATAAAATGGGGCTGGAGGATCCACACAATCTCTTCTCTTCTTTGCTTCTCTCGGTGTTACATTCAATGGATCGAGCCAGAGGATGGCTCTCTAGATCAGCTTGCGTATGGAGAAGGAGATCTTGCCTACGGTTGCATGTCCAGCCTCAACTACGATCCATACTACAAGTACTACAAGCCAAACTTTGAGACGGACGCGTTTCAGTTCTTCCAGAAGAACGCTCATGATCAACGGAGGAATGGTGAGGCTCGCCTCTTAGATTTCTCCAAACAGTCAAACTCAAACTTAACGATGACTTTTATTAAGCAGGGAACAGGCAGAAGAGTATGTGGAGGAGGGGACTTGCGACTTTGCAGTTCTTTTCATTGCAAATGCCAACCTCCCTGGACAACTTCTGATGTTTTAATGGAGAGGACAATTCGATTAATATATTGAACATTCTGTTAGTGTATGGAAAATTAAGGGAGATGTAGCGGTTATATCAAGCGACAAAGCTCTGTTTGCCTGGGTTCAACTCCTGGCATCTCCATAACTTTTTTATTAAAAAAATTAAAAAATATTTATTCTCCATTGGCTTCTCATTTGAAGAATATACCAGCATCTTGTTGCATTTGATTCTTTTTTACTATAATATCTTTTTTACTATAATTTTTTTTTTTTCCACACAAAAATGAAAAATTAAACCATTTACAAAAGCATGAAATTATGCAAATCAGTTTTGTAAAATGCCCAACTGTTGCATTTATTCTCTTGGCAAATTTAGCAAAAGGCTGCCAAGTTGATCCAAGCATTTGATCAGCACCAGCCCTGCACGGGCCATCTTTTCTCCGTATCCATGCGCCACCATTTCTTCCTCTTGCTGGGCGACTCCTCCAGGCTCACGCTGCTCAAATCTCCCGAGCTGGAGCTAAAACTCCCGCTGCCACTGCTGCTGCCACTACTGCTCCCTCTCGACTGGCAAAACTCAATCAGCCTCGCGAAAAACCTCTGCCTCGTAAATCTCGACACCGGCACCTCGATCGTGTCGGCCTCCCTCCACATCCTGCTCACTTGCGAGCTCGATAGATGCTCGTAGCTCGTCGCCATGGATTCCATGGACAGCTCGCTCGCCAGCATTGGCGATGGCCCTCCCCATCGCCGGAACTGCGACTTCCTGCGCGGCGTTAGCAGCCAATCCATCCGCCTCATTAGCTTCCACCTCCACGAGCTTGACAACTTCCTGAGCTTGACCAAGCACCGCCGGATCACCTGGAAAGAATTATAGGAAACTTTACTCTCCTTCTTGACACGATCACCCAACTTCGATCCACTGAGAGGGATTAGGCACGATGGGGGCACGATCTCGAGGATCGGATTGGAACCCGCGAGACCCAATTGCGTGATCTTCCTGCCCAGGAGCCTCGCTTCTCACAGATTCAACCCAGGAAGAACTTTGGATGGTGGATCTATCTAGAAATTTTCACTCGAGGATCATATCCCGGGAGAGAATAAGTTTACCTGAGAAGGCGACGATGAGCTCCTGAGCTTGCCTCGTCTGCTGCTTCTCGTCGCTTGCGTCTGCAATGTGGAATCCGTCAGCCGGCCCGAGTCCATTTGTCACACCTCCGACATTTTCTACAGCCAAGCCTTTTATTTATTTTTGAGAGATATGCGCCATAGCCACTGATCGCTCGAGCGCTTCTCCAATTTTACGAGCGAAATGTGCCACAAATTGAGAACGGTCAAGATTTGGATCTCTCGTCAAAAGTTGCGTGAAAAGAAAGTTTGACAAAGAAAAGGAGAAAGAACGACTTGTCTATCGGGTCAAGTTGACTTTCCACAAGTTTTCTTTCTTCTATACAATGTAGAGGTTTATTTCTTAAGCAAGTTTTTTCATAAGAAATTTTCACTCCACTAGAATGGCTGCTGCGATTTTCTGCTTTTCGTTTTTTACTTTTTCTTTCCTCTTCCTCTTCAAGCTCGACCATCGTCGTGTTCCTTGCTTGCTTGCTCGAGCGATTTTTACTTCAAGTGAGCGTCGTAAGCAGCAAGGACGCTGTCGGAGACGAGCAGTGGGAGCTTATCAATGTACATGTAAAGTCGCTGGAGGTTGTCCCGGGTGAAAGTCACCATGTCCTGCAAATCGCTATTGTCCGTGACGATCCACAAGTCCCTCGAGTTCACGCGTTTCAGGCTATCACGGCAGAAGGGACACGACTTGGCCCTCAAGTTCCTGCAAATCCAAACGATCAAAACCTTTCTGAGCAAAACACAAAGCAAGACTTCCAACCAAGTGAATCAAGACTTCCACTAGCTAGAGTCGTAAGGACACTGTACGAAAAAGAGACAAAACAACGAAAGCAAACAGATCTACAGCTTGGGATCAAACACCGACCAGAGCGAGTAACAAGAATAAACAAAGGGAGACGTAACTTACCAGTCTCGAAAGCACTGAATGCACATTGAATGCCCGCACCCGGGGAGTACGATCTTCTCCGAAGTCTCCATGCAAATATTGCACTCGTGTTCTCTCTCCAGGTCGATATCGGAGAGAGCCAGCCGCTCCTCCTCCTTCTTCTTGGACCGCTCTATACAGATTGATTTTTGTTTGGAATTCTCTGCTTCGCTCAGCACGGCCGGAAGCTGCTGCAGCGATGGATATATGTACGCTGCATCGAGAAAAAAAAAACCAAGAAAACAAGAGATGAGATCAGATCACAGATAAAAAAGATGGATATATGTACGCTGCATCGTAAAGAATGGCAAGAAAAACAAGAGATGAGATCAGATCCCAGATAAAATAATCCTGAAATCCTTTTTTTTTCCATCTTGGTAGACCGAGACTACTTGCAGACAATGACTACTGGCACTACTGGCACTAGAAGATACTTTCGAAAGACACACACACACACAAGAGAGAGGAGAGAAAAGGGACAAAGCACCCACCGTAAAATTCTCTCAAGCTAGCTTTCCTCTCGTAAGTTGACATTGTCGTGGTTCCATCACGCAGCACCTAATCAAACAGAGACGAGAGCGCGAAAGTCAGTCGGATTGATCCAAGCAAGAAGCACCGCTCGGAACAAAAGATCAAAGGAAACTCTCCAAACTTCTACCTTGTAGATGAGAATCCGGAGGAGGCCGAGAGCACCAGCGAGGCTACAGTCGGCCCACTGGAATAAAAATAGGAAGAAATGCGCGGCGGGGCTGTAAGATAGCCGCATTTGGAGGCAGACGCCATCGTACTCGCGAGGATAATCTAGAGCCCTGCAAGCAACCAAGAACACAAAGTGTATACAGCTTAGTTTCAATACAAAGGGAAGAAAAGTATGCAGAGATTCGAAAAAAACTTGACACGACATCGAAAACGATTGCATGATCGTTACGGGACAAGAACGCAAGGTGACAAGCAAGCCAACTATCTGAGGAATTTTTAATTTTTTTATCTTCTTTGTTGTTTTGGGTGTAAGATAGATAAGCTCGAGCTCGAGCGCGAGGAAGATAAAAGAGATGGATCAAAACCATGTTTTTAAGGCTCGAGAGAAACTTACAGTGTGTTGGCATGTTGGATGTCAGCTTCCAAAGCTTTGAGGGATTCCTTGAAGGATTTGCCATAGCCGAGAAGCAAGCACATATTGGTTTGCCCTTTCCGGAATCAATCGCAAAGAGAGGAAAAAGAAAGAAGAAAAGAGGAAAAAAAGAGGGGGATTCACAAGAAAACCTCGAAGAGATAGACAAGAAAGAAAGAAAAAAAACTGTACAAGGACTACTATATACACAAGCTTTTTCTCGGAGGAAGGAAAGAGAAGCAAAGATGAAACGAGACCAACCTCTAGACAGCCCAAACCACGCAATGCATCCCTCCCTCAAACAAGAAAAAAGATAAAAATCCCCAAAGCAGGCACAGCGAATTTTACCTCTACATGATCAGGGCAGCACCGAAATCAAAGAATGCAGCGAAGAATCACCCATTCCCCGGCGACCCAACTCAACGCCACAGCGCGGGCTGGGAGGAGCGGCGCCGCCGCCCACAAATTCTCCCACACTCGACTGACTCGCTCGCCATAGCCCTCGCTCGCCCTCGCTCCAAAGCTTTGCTTGCGATCTCTTCTTTGCTTGCCCTTTGCTTTACCTCGGCGTGTCTCCAAACACTTCACCGAAAAATGGGTCCCCTCGCACTGGATTGTCTATCCCTTGTTCTCTTTGTTTTTTCTTCTCATCCACACCGATAATGCAGAGATTAACGAGATAATACGGAGATATTTTAGCCTAAACTAATGCGGTATCCTGATCCTCTCATCTGAAAGATTCTCTTTCTCTGTCAACAAGATCGCGAGCCGTCGGATCGATAGCAAGAGCAAGAGCCGTCGGATCCGTTAGGGCTGACGTGACTAAATTAGGGCTTGCGTGTCGGTTAGGGCTGACGTGTTGGATGAACGGAAGGCTTCGATTCTTGGATTGACGCGCGTTGTTTTGGAACAAAGCCGCGCGATCGGACAAAGGATTCTCGCCGAGATCCATTTTTCTGTGATCAAGCAGCCAAGGCAGTACGACAAGGAGTCCTCCCCTGCGCACGGAGAAGTACCTTTGCTGGCCCGGGAAGTATCACGGCTATGGAATGCTAGCTTGGATTTAAGCTCGTTGTTTCTGGGAGATTTGGAACAATGCTGGGATCGTCCGACAAGCGGACCAATCCAAAGATTCATCCTTTCGTCCCGGTGATTGATGCCGCAGTGTTGCATCATCGTCGACCGATCGATCGCCCCTGACCGGCATCCCGACAAACCGGGGATATAAACTCGCAGGTTTCCCGAGAGGAGAAGAGCATTCGACTTCCAGGGGATCGAATTTGATCATAGAAGTGATCAATGAGCTGCGCGTATCTCCACCAGCGAGTGAGAGCCATTGTGGCGCTCTTCCAGAGGCAATGGCAGCAGCCAAGGAGCGATTACTCCAGAATGGAATCCTCTTCTCAGATTTCTCCTCCTCCTGCTTTCTCTTCTTCTTCTCAAAATCGCGCTGTGATAGATGATCTCGATCCTCCCAGCAAAGGCTTCTTCCCGGTCTACGTCGGGAGCGCCCGCCAGCGATTCCTGCTGCCGATTCGCTGCCTGGGTCACGCGTCCGTGAGGATCCTCCTGGAACAGTGCGAGGAGGAGTTTGGATTCGCGCAGAGTGGCAGCCTGGCCCTGCCGTGCAATGTGGAGCTGTTTGAGTTGGCGGTGGAGCAAGCGGAGGAATCATTCCGCCTGGAGGCGCTCGAGAGCAAGCACGAGAGAAAGGAGAAGCGCTCGCTGCGCAAAAGGATCGCTTTGATACGGAGTGCCTTTCGGTGACTTTAAAAGCTTCTCTTTTCTTCCTTCTTTTTCGTGTACTCCCAGCACTGCTTCTCTTTGATCATGATGGAGTCATGCTGGTTCGCAGATCTCTCTTGTAAGATCTTCGAGTTTCTCCTTTTTCTTTGCGCGATTTCTTCAAAGAAAGCGACATGATCCCCGCAAACTCACGCTGTCACATTTTTACCGGTGATTTTTCCTTGGAGGGTCTTTTGATTCGAGAAACTCTGGCATGGACCTCGCAAAAGTCACGAAGAGCTGTTAGAAAAGATCACAGTTTTACCAGTGATTTCCTTGCAGGGTCTTTCGATTCGATCAACTCTGGCATGGACCTCGCAAAATCAAGAAGAGCTGTTAGAAAAAATCAGACTTTTACCAGTGATTTCCTTGGGAGGGTCTTTCGATTCGATCAACTCTGGCATGGACCTCGCAAAATCACGAGCCGAGAGAATAATTATTAGTGTAGAAAAAGAATGTTTTAGAAGTCACTGCTGCTGCTTCACTAGCGAAGCGTAGAGCAGCTCGTTCCAAGTATCTGGGACTCCCGGAAGGCACCAGTGGCTGCAATCCTGCTGATCCCACCCGTGCTTCTTACCCCACCTCGCAACATGGCCGTCTTTGCGGAACAGCGAGAGCTTGGTCACGTTGAGGAACGTCACACGCGTCTTCATGCTCCGCAACACCCGAGAGAAAACGTCTACCTTGCTTGAAAGCTCGTCCAGCTTGAATTCGTCCGCCAGTGGCTCCAGATGCGATTCACAGCTCCCTCCCGTGTCCCAGTCTCCTCCACTGTGACAAAAGCTCGTCAAAGAAAGATCTCGGATCATACGATACGTACCTGAAGTGGTTTGGAGAGTAGCCACGGACAAAAATCTTTTGTGTTCTTCCGATATGCCGATCGATCCAGCGGGCCCAAGTTTTCATGGAAGTCTCGAACGCGGCGAGACCGTCCATTTGAGTGGTGTAGTTGGAGCCTTGGATGAAGTAGCACTCCCTAGAGGAACAAAAGAGAAAGAAAAGCTAGCAAAAGTTGTATAGAAAGAACTTTGGTGGAAAAGAAAAAAGATGATCTTACCCGCTGTGAATGCTCCGGTGTTCCCACCAGTGCCCCGAATTGAAAACGATGAGATCCGCGCTCCTCCACTCGCGCGCCGCTGGATCGAGCCGGTCGAGCGAGAGCGTACAGTTCGCAGCGGCGCTCTTGATCTTGTCCGGGAGCCTCCGGTTCTCCGCGACCAAGAAGTGTGAGCGATAGAAGTCGATGTGGACTCTGTGATCCGCGAAGACGATGGAGTAGTAGTAGCCGGCCTTGGCGACACGCTGCCGGTGAGCCTCGTAGACGTTTCTCTTGTTCCTGGCGGCCTGGTAGAGCATACACACGAGAGATTCCCATTGATTCCGGCCCAGAGAATCTCCCACGAACGCCAGGGTCTTGTTCCTCAGCCTCTCCATCATATCCGTTGCATTGAATCTGTGTAAGAACCCAAAGAAAAGGAAAGATATCAATGCAAGCAAGAGAAAAAAGAAAGAAACGCTCGCTCGCTCCATCCAGAGAGATCTTTCTTTCACCTAGAAAGATCAACCAAGGAGAGTAGCGTACCTTGGAAGATCGCAGCTATGGGGCTGCCATCGCCAATGGAGATAGCCGCTATCGTTGCGCCCATTCTCTTGGCACTGGAACGCTCCATCGGTGAAGGGGCAGAAGGATGGCTGGAACAAGGGGTATCCATCATCGCGTACCCAGCGGCCGGAGTAAATATCGCAAGATCTTGGCGGTGGAGGCGATGGCGATGGCGCTGGAGCTGGCGATGGAGATGGAGATGGCGATGGTGCTGGAGCTGGCGATGGAGATGGAGATGGCGATGGTGATCCGAAATATTTCGGTGCTCGAGCTCCGCGATTACCAAGAGGAGGATTATCATCGGGATTAGCGCCACCGCCGGCGCCCCCTACCCCGCGATCGCCGCCTTCGCCATCGCCATCGCGATCGCCCCGGCTGAGCCACGCCGTCAAGAATGCCGCATTGGCGGCCCGGGGCATGGACAAGCGCCTGGAGAGAAGATCGCCGCTGGTGCTCGAGAGGAACGACGATGCCGCCAAGACGAGCACGGCGAAGGACACTGCTACTGCGATGGATCCCCATGGAGAGAATTTCATAGGCGCGGAGAGCTACGTGACCGATCGATCGATGGAGTGGGCTCGCTAGAAATATTTTGCCTCTCGGCAAAACCTCGCGTGACACCTGTCCAGGCGTCGTATGACGTGGAGAACGTACTTTTGCTCCCTGTCCGCCACGTGGCAAAGCTATAAACCCTAATGGTGCTAGCGCATTCTCTCACGCTCGTCTCGATTCGAGGCTGTTCTTCCGGGGATCGATTGCCAGGTCTGGATTTAGCTGCGTTGCCACTGCGACTGCGAGCGGCTATGGCTACACGGTGGAATCGTGGAGCGAGACGCCATACTTGGAGCTCGTTCTTGGCCTCCGCCCCGAGGGGCAATCCATGGCAGCGGGCGCTGGATCCACAAGCGGCCGAATCCAGGATATTACGGCAGGCTCATGAGAATGCGGCTCGAGAATGCTTCGTCTATGGGGGGGGCGCGAGGCGATCTTGGAAAAGAAGAGCTACGTGAGAGATTTCGAAAGCTTCTGGATTCCTATGCTTGGCGATCTCATGGGAGGGGATTATCACAACTACAGTTTAGAGGTACGCAAGAATCTTAGATTTTTTCTCTTATTTTCTAGTTTCTTTTGATTTGCTATGTTCTTCGTGGCTGTTCTTCCAGCTTTGCTTATGAGTTTCTTGCTTTTCTTCCCATTAAACTTTGGTGTTGTTGGTCGGGATTTCTTTTGGTTTTCTCGTTGTTTCCGTGCTCGTATCTTTCATGCCTTATCGAGTCTGATCTTGTCGGTGACATTCTTTATTGTTTCGTCCTCTCCATCCATCGCGTTCTTATATCACGATCGTGCCAGGTTTTTACATGGCTCACGAACAACCAATGGTCCAACTATCGGCCAAGAGACCGCAGCTCGAGCAGCTCTACGCGACAATGATCTCTTACGCCGGAGTCGTTGGGAGCCTGAGGCTAGCACGCATCTGGTTCGACGATCTCAAAGGCAAGGGGCTCAAGCAATCGACGAGGTGCTGCAACGCTCTCATCCTCGCCTACGCCAAGAAAGGTGGCGCTCAAACCGCGCTCTCCATCCGCGAACAGATGAAAGCCTTCCGCAAGGGGTGCTCGCCAAACGTAGTCACGTACTACATCCTCATCGCCATGTTTGCAAGGCTGGGGGACGCGCCAGGCCTCGCAAATCTCCTGGGCGACAGCGAGTGCTCGAGCTTTCGTCCCGACCCCATGACTTACAACACTCTCCTCTGTGGCTACTCGAAGATGGGAATGCCGGAGGATTTCGACAAGACACACGGGGAAATGGTGGAGGATCTGGAGGATGAACTTAGTGAGGAGAGCTACAACGCGTTGCTCGTTGGATGCTCGCGGCTGGATCGTCTCGACGAGCTCCAGCGCTGTGTGGGGGACATGCTAGCCAGGGAGATGAGTCTGGCATCGCCGGTGGTGGCGGAAGAGATCGCCAAGGCTTACAGAAGAAATCGATGGGTGGAAGGATTGGACACGGTGATCCAGCTCGAGGAAAAGAGTCCCGGGATTTCTCCAACCTTCCAAAGCTTTGTAAATGCTTGCAATGACGATTTAGAAAAAAAAGAGGCGCTTGTTTCAAGATAAGTTTTAACTTTTTTTTCACTACAATCCATGTGATTAACTTTGAATACTATTTTGTGTGGTCTCTTCCAGCTTTTTCCAGAATATGGAGTCAGTGGTTGTGTCCACTGGAAGGATTTCTTTAAAACCATGCTGCTGGCATTCATGGTACGCGGCAAACAAAAGCTGCGACAGAAGAAAAATCCGAACAAGAATCTAACAGGGGCTGCAAATTGTAGAAAATTGACTGATACCACTGTCCAGGTTGAACTTTTGTGGTCAATAAAAACGCTGACCAGATAATGTTGACAATTTTGACCGTTGACCAGATTCTGGAAATAGATAAACCCTAAACCTAAACCCCGACCTTTTCGTGCCCATACAGCAGCACCGTTGACCCTGCAAAACCCCGGGCTAATCCCCACCGTGTTCCGCGCCGCCATGGCGCGTCCCCGTGCACCTTGCAGCACCCCAGCAGCGTGTTCCACGCCACTGCTGGAACGGCATATTCCTGACAAACCCCAGCACGTCCACCATGCACGTCCAGTGGTCGGGCCACGCCGCCAGGCAACCGCCGCCAGGACACGAAGAAATGCCGCACCTGGGCGAGCAGGCCGGCGAGTTGAGGATGGTGACATAGGTGACGCTGTCGGGCTGGACGCCCTCGAGGTGCATGTCGCGGTAGAGGATGGCATATTCAGCATGGCCGTGGTGGGCGTATCCCGCCACCAGGGAGCTCCACGTCACCGTGTCGCGGGCTCTCATGCGGTGGAAGGCGGCAGCAGCATCTCCACAGCGCGCGTACATGCTAACTAGCGGGTTGCCCAGGGTGACGTTAGTCGTGGATCCCGCGAGAATCTCCGGATTCGCGGCGCATAGCTTAGCATGGATGCGCCGCCCCTCGGCGAGCTCGCCAGGCCGGCGTGGGCGCACAGGAGAATGACGGCCATGATGCAATCGGGCTTTAGAATGGAGTCCGAGATGGTGGAGGCCGAGGTGTTAGTGGCTCTTTGTGTACAAACTAGAGTCCGAGCTCGCAGAGACCGAGCTCCTCGAGCCCGACTCCATGGCCCTCGAGTTCCCAGCCTTCATCTCCGAGAACAATGCGATCGCTTCCTCGTCGTATCCGTGCTGTACACAAGATCCCATCATCGCGTTCCATGACACCAAGTTCTTCCTCTCGATCCCATCAAACACCCGCCTTGCCTCCTCCAGGCTGCCGCACCGCGCGTACATGCTGATGATCTGGATCTTGAGCATGAAGCTGGAGGAAGCAACGCGAGCGTGGAGCTTTCTCACGAGGCCGACGTCCCCGACCACTGATCCGGCATAGATTACGTTGAGCAGCACCACGCTGTCCGGCTGGATCGACTGCCCGACCATCTTGTCGTAGAGCTCGAGAGCTTTGGATCCATTGCCGTGAAAGGTGTAAGCAGTGAGCATGGCCGTCCAGGACACGACGTTCTTGCCTGGGATTCTCTGAAAAGTCCTCTCGGCGGCCTCTAGATCTCCACACTTGGCGTAGGCAGTGACAAGCGAGTTCTCAAATCCGGAGGAGAGTGCACCGCGGCGAGCTCCAGCTGCGAGTGGATCCGCTTGCACGATCGCAAGCACCCAGTGCTCGAGCAGGCACTTAGAACTCCCAGAAAGCTCACGTCGTCGGGCTTGATCCCTTCCAAGTTCATGCCGTGGAAGAGGCCCATCACCGCGCAAGACTGTGCGCTCGCGGCAAAGGCCGCGATCATGCTGTTCCACGAGACCCTGTTGCGATCTTCCATCCTCTGGAACACCGAAAGTGCTTCCTCCGCGTTGCCACCCTTTGCGTACATCGAAACGAGTGCATTCTGGATCGTGATGTAACCGTGGAGGCCCAGGTCGATCACGGCGGCGTGGATCTTCCTGCCCCGATCGAGAAATTCCCTGCTGGAGCACGCAGTGATCTCCGCGACAAAGGTCACCGGATTGGGCTGGAAGCGAGCTTGGATCATCCCCTCAAGCGTCTCGAGCGCCTGGCCGCAATCCCCCCTCTGGGCAAATGCAGTGATCATCGCAGTCCACGATACTACATCCTTGTGCGGTATCTGATCAAACACCGCCCTGGCCTGCTCGATCGCTCCACACTTGGCATACATGTTGAGGAGCGCTGTGCCGACGAACACGCTCTTGCGGAGATCCGGGGAGAGAATTCTCGCGTGGATGGCCATGCCCAGCACAAGATCCTTGGCGCCGGAGCATGCAGCCAGTGTGCTCACGATCACCATTTCGTTTGGTTTCACATCCATGCGCTGGAAGAGATTGATCGCCTCGCGGCAATGCCCCGACTGCACGTAGGCCGCGATGATGCAGCTCCAAGACACCACATCTTTCTTGGGCATCTGATCGAAGACTGCGCGCGCGGCCGCGAGGCTGCTGGTGCCACCACATTTCCTGTACATCTGGATGAGGAGATTACCGAGGTGGACGCTCTGGAGGAAGTGGCCTGGATGGCGATAGCAGCATCTTGGATGGATGGTCTTTGCTCATAAACCCTATAAGAATCTATAGAAATAATAATTTAATTTTATTAGAAAATACTAACTTATTTGTGTAAGGTTCCTCTATTACTCGTGTAACTCCTCGTTTCCTGAATGTATCTCAGTGTCCAGACCTTCCATAGCAACAACACTAATAAAACATTGTTGATGCCAAAGTTTTCACCCATGAAATGGAGGTTGCAAATTGGAAAACTCTGACAACATTGATAAATGTGACTAACTTCATTACATGCCCAACAGTAAACATCACGGCCATGACTAAATCTTCACCCTTCTCCTTGAACTTGAGCAGCAGTAACATCAACCTCCATTGGAACATGACCATCTTCCATAGGAAGTAGAGCTAAAGGACGTATAGTGAGAGGAAGAGGCAACATCTCATAATGTTGTGCCAAATGAAAGACATTATCAAGGGTGGCTAGAGCAAGTGTATCCATAAGTTCTATAAGATTTTGACGAAGTGCTAGTTATAACATTTTTAGCTTGATTTACTTTGATATATTTGGCTCTACATGAAGTAAGAAGCTTTGGAAACGAATGCCAAATTGCATCACTGATTCAGATAGTTTTTGATGAAAACAATGCAATTGTTGGAAGGCATCATCACAATCATTAGCATGTCCAAATGTGCATTTGAACACGTCCGAGAGAATACTCTAATCCCCACGAGTGGTTGTGCTCAAACCATTATACCACTACAGCACCGTCCCTTGGAGACACGTGGGAAACTCATGCAAATATCAAGTATTATCCCAAGAATAATATGTAGTAATCATCATAAAGTAATCGAACCAATGGTACACATCATCCCTAGGATTCTTATGAAAGAACTCCGGCCAAACGTGAGGATTGGCACCAAGAGCAAGAGGAGTTGTACCACGTGCTATGAATGCCACCATCAATTGAGTTTAATTGTTCAACTACAATCGCATAACATTAAATAATTGTACCAACTGCTGCTCCAAAGTCAAAAGAGGAAGAACCATAAAAATGAATAAAAAGGAAAGAGCAAAAGAAATGAAATGAAAAAAAAGCTAGAAGGAAAGGAAGATCTAAACAATGCTCCCGAAAAGAAAAAAACAAAAGAAGGGAAATGGAAAAAGTTAAATCTAAACCAAAATCCCAAAAGGAAATAATAAAAGAAAGGAAATGGAAAAAGTTAAATCTAAACAATGCAAAAGTTAAATATAAACCAAAATCCCAAATCTAAGCACTCTTCAAGGATAATCACAGATGCCCTTCACCTCCATGTAAGTGCATGAAATATGGAAAGGGAATATAAAAACTGTGCAAATTAATTAACTTAAAAATTCTAATTTATATATAAGAGTGAATGGTCCAGATTGAAATCAATTTGATAGTTACCAAAATCCCACTATGCTAATATTAATATATGGCATTGTAGTTGTACACTTAAACCTCACATAATCAATTATCATTATTTATTTATTTTTTACCATTATAACATAAACCAGTCAGAAACCTGAATAATACAACATGAAAAAAATAAAAAAGGAATCTTTCAGTTTTAATAATTAAAATATTGGCACTTGCTCTTGATTCTAGAATCTACAAACTCCTTAAATCTCACCCCCTAAGGTAATTTCATCTGCACCTCTACAATGGAGAAAAAAATTCAGATTATTTCTCAAAAAAATTCTCAGTTTTACTTACTCTTTTTCACACTGAGCTTTGGCTCCAAACACTTGCGCATTGCCGTGTTCTTAACCCATCCGAACATTCTATGTGCATACGTCTTCTGAACTTGTTCTAGTTTCCTCATGTCTGCAGTAGAATCCAGAGAGATGTCGATCAGGTCTTTCACTTTGTCCTTGGATGAGAATGCATCCAAACCTGGAGTGCAAAAGATAACATCAAGTGATTGAAAATGAAACAGCACAAACGTACCTTCAATGACCACAATGTGTTGGAGATGATCATCTGAAGCAAAATACCGTTCCCATGACTTGAATACCATGCGTAATCTATCCCCATCATAGCCTTTTGTCCATTCCTGAAGGCCTTTGCATTCCGGATGAGTGTCATGTGTAAGCTCCTGAGTTTGGACTTCCCGGGAGGTCACCCAGCCCAGTACTATTCAAGCCCAAGGACGCTTAACTCCAACTATCCCAAGACCCTTAACCGATTGGAAAAGGGGGTGCACTCTTGTTCATGGGCCCTTTCCCTCTATATTTGAACCCCATGGATCGTCTCTCGAGTCATTTCCTTTGGTTGCTTACAATCCACCACGCTTCCCTGCAAGTTCACGCCCTCGTGAACGGAAGCTGAGAGCCGCAGCTCTCCCGAGAGCCTCGCTCTCTTGACACCCTACCCCTCTGGTCGAGCCCAGCGGGAGCAAACTGGACCAGCCAGATGTCAATCAACATGTGGTGTGATTCCCCTAGCCAACCAACAGAGTCGGACCCAAGACCCCTTTGATACCAAATGTAAGCTCCTGAGTTTGGACTTCCCGGGAGGTCACCCAGCCCAGTACTTAACTCCAACTATCCCAAGACCCTTAACCGATTGGAAAAGGGGGTGCACTCTTGTTCATGGGCCCTTTCCCTCTATATTTGAACCCCATGGATCGTCTCTCGAGTCGTTCCCTTTGGTTGCTTACATCATGGAGAGCCATTGCCATGGAATGATTTGCAGGCGTCTTCTTCAGCAATGCTTCTATGACAAGTTTCCTAGTTCTGTAACGAACACTGCTGGAAGGCACATGGGCCACATTCAAAACCAGACTGGCGTATGGCACCTTCAACCCAGTCCAACCTTGAGGCCCTGCACTGCTACTGAACATCTGAGAAAACTCCGGAGAGCATTTAGCACATGCTAAATCAACATCATGTTTCTCTGTGTGTTTCACCTGCACCAAAATGAGTGTCATCGTCTCCAGGCTAAACGTGCCACCAAAGAACCCAACGATGACGATGTCTATGCCCCATTCATTTTCACGGCAAATGATTCCTACGCCAGCCTTTCCAAATTCAAGCAAATCTTTGGCGGTGAGCTCCTGCAGTCGGAAGTCGGTTTTCCTGAATAGCAAGCAAAAAAACTTGGCTTCACCCATGTTTCTGTGGATTTCTTCTTTACCACTTCCATCTATAGAGCCACCTGCTTGTTTTGTTTCCCCCTCACCTTCAGCATTGTGCGTACTTCCACCTGGAGCTTTCGAGGCCGTCAGCATTGGAGATGGCGACTTCACCTCAGGTGGCGGCGTGTTTACTTTGACCTGTGCTTTTTCTCCTGGAGCTTTGGACAGGGACGCTGAAGCCACCTGCGGCTGACCCAGAAGTTTTTTGTTTACTTTAACCCTGCTTTTCCTTGTGCTACGCTTCAAAGCCGAGGCCGGAGGTGGCGGCATGTTTACTTCGACCTGTGCTTCTTCTCCACCACCTGGAGCTTTGGGGGTCGGAGATGCTGAATTCTGCTCATCTTCTCTAATAAGATCGGACAGCGACTTCCCACTTAAGCCACGGCAAAGCTCGTCAAAAGTAAAGCACTTCCATGAATCTCTGTCTAGACTGTCCACTGCAAGAAGTAGCAGCACCCGTGCAACCAACTCGCCCCTGTAACCTCGATCAACCCATCCACGCTTCATCCCAGTTACAAGTGCCTCCAAGCACTCCTTCCAGCCTGTCCCAACCTTCCCTTGTGCACGCAAAACCCGTGCTGCAGCCGCTGCAACCAGTGGCTCCGTAGCCCAATGCGTCCAAACAAGAGTCCGGTCATCAGAAATGGACATCACGCTAAGTAGGTGACTTGCAACCATATCAGTGATAATTGTGGCATGCGGATTGATGTCGATGCATACTCTGCAGCCCAGTGTAGCCAGACAAGCCTCATGTGATAGACCTCCGCTTTCAAGCATACACTTGTTGAACGAACCAGTGCCACCCAGGAGCT